AAAAAAAAAAAAAAAAAAAACAGCTGAACTTTTGAAAAAGTTGTCCATTCAAGCTGATTTTCAAACTTGACCTGTATTTTATGAATATTCATTAGTTCTGTAAATTTGAACACAAAGAGTTAAACAGTTTTCCTCTTTTCCGTGTCATCTCTGAAAGTGCACAGCACCGACAACTACAGTTTATACAGTATGTATTAATATTTTCCTCAAAAATTCAGAAAATGTTTATCAACATCTCTTAATGAAATATTGCAGTTAGATTTATGGATGGCACGAAGTGGCACTTCAACATATCTGGCAGTTACATCTCATCTTAAAATACATTAAACTATAAAGCACTCAGTGCAACCTCCACAGAGGCAAATAATAAACAAACTAAATATTAATAATTACTTAAATAAAACATTATTAATTGATCATCACCAAAATATAATAATTTCTTCCTTGGCACATTTGTAACCTATCCTGAAAATTGAATTAATTATTTTAATAATTAATTAATTAATGCATTTCTTCTCTGGTTCATTTGTGACCTCTCCAGAAAATAAAATAAAAATATAATTAACGTATCATCACCAAAATCTAATAATTTCCTTTTTTTCCACTTCTGAACTATATAATGACAATTTCAATAACCTATGCTGAAATTTAATAAATAATTAATTAACTATTGCATCATCACCAAAGTCTAATCACTACTTCCTTGGTACACTTGTGACCTTTACTAAAATGTCATCAAAATCTGTACATAATTAATTAAATTAATTATTTAATTAATTAATGTATCACAACCAAAATCTAATTATACATTGTACATTGTATCTTCCTTGGCTTGGGCCATTTGAGACCTTTCCTGAAAATATCAAAATCCGCCCATGACTTTTTGCTTAATGCTGTATACAGACAAACAAACGCACCAACGGTGACAAAAACATTAGCTCCTCAGTTGTCGGGGGTAGGCCTGTAATAACTGTAACTTTTGCAATATATTAATCATCAAAACATCTTGTGTCAAATTAGGTCAATTATCATGGGAGTACTGAGGTCACATATCTTAAAACTGCTTATCTTTTATCCATGTCAGCAATATTACATTAATTTGCCTATTTTTACCAACAGCTTTTCCTTGATGAGACAAACTTCATTTGTGCCACTTTGATAACCATAAATCAGAAATCACGACTGTCAGTATCGACGTATTGTTTGTTCCATTTCAAGGCCACTTTTTTCCAAGATATCCCAAATCCCATAGTCAAGCGTATTGCATGTATTGCGTTACGATAGCATTCACTATCTGAAATTAAAGACCATATTCAATGAACTATAACACAAGAAAATGAATATCACTTCAGGGTGGGTGTAATATAAATTGATTAAATTTGAAATTTTAAACGCCTTGTGGGACGTACGGAAAGTTCCATGTTTTAAAAATAGCATCCATTGATTATTTTTAACCAGAAACCCATCCTACGTGTTAATCAAAGCGAAACCAGACAAGACGGAAAATCCAACAAATTTGCTGGTATAAAGGGTGATCATTGGGTTTCGTAGCAAAGCACTGACCCATTTGAGACGACTGAGCGCTGACTGATCAAGACGCAATACTATAGCTAATTGTACAACCACCCAATATAGTAACGGAAGTCTATTTTGACGCTGATTATAGCTGATTAAAACAGGTAGGTTTTGTGACGTGTTAATTATAAAATTTATTACATCACAGGGACTCTCTTAAAACCTTTAGTGCTCCAAGAAAATATTTAAAAAAAAAGTATGTTTCTGGCCCCTGACAGTTAGCTTCAAGTACAATGTACAATGTACAATGCATATAGGACTACATGTAGGCCTATGTATTAAGGTGAGGGCTCATTCCCAATAAAAATATCGGCCTACGTAGATCGACCCAACTCCACAGGACTCTCACTGAATGCAATAACGGATTAACACCGTCAGAAAATGTTAAAAAATCACTTAGCCAAGTAGTCATTTAAATATTATTTATTAGTTTTTTTTTTATTTATTTATTTGATCCTTCTTTAAATTTGAATGTTAGGCCTATTAATTACGCCTATACTGGTTAGGATACTGTCACGGTTCGCCTAAAACTCCTTATTTACTGTCTTACATACATTCTTTTGAGTAATAGATAAATCGTGAGTGTTCAGTGACTGACTTTATAAATATTTACACATGTCGACCTTACGGGTGACGTAATAATTGCGATTTTTGGGTAAAAATTGAAAATCTGTTTTTCAAATATCTCTTTTGCCTGAGCACTCACGATCACAGTTTCAACGCCGATTTAATGACACGATTTGGTTCTCCAAAATCGTGCCAGCGATTTTTCTTAAAAGTTTTACTTCAGATTTTATGGTTGATAAAGCAAAATAATGCCTTTGTTTAATGAAAATCTGTAATTAGGGGCTCATAACAAAACATTTAAGCAAAATGACGGCACGGTATTGTAGCCCGTACTCAACTGGTCGACTTGCAACCTCACCTCAAAATAGAAAGGTGTTAAATTGACGATTAAAGCATGGAGTTGCCTATGCTTATACATTGCAACAAGAAATATAAACGCCGATATCTTATATCTTCGAGAGTTTTTTTTTTCTTTGCTTTAAATCAGCACAAAGACAGGTGCATACTTAAATAATAAGATGCAGGCACTGGCGTATTTAGAGGGGGATCAGGGGGGTGCTGATCCCCCCTTCGTTTTCTGGTCCCCTTTTGAAATTAGAATTTTGACTAGGGGAATCATAGTTTTAAACCGTACCAAATGGCTCCGTTCGCCCTCCGAGCCCCACGCCAAGAAGNAGACAAAGAGTTAAACAGTTTTCCTCTTTTCTGTGTCATCTCTGAAAGTGCACACCACCGACATCTACAGCTTATACAGTATGTATTAATATTTTCCTCAAAAATTCAGAAAATGTTTATCATCATCTAATGAAATATTGCAGTTAGATTTATGGATGGCACGAAGTGGCACTTCAACATATCTGGCAGTTACATCTCATCTTAAAATACATTAAACTATAAAGCAACCTCCACAAAGGCATATAATAAACAAACTAATTATTAATCATTACTTAAATAACATTATTTAATTGATCATCACCAAAATATAATAATTTCTTCCTTGGCACATTTGTAACCTATCCTGAAAATTAAATTAATTATTCTAATAATTAATTAATCAATGCATTTCTTCTCTGGTTCATTTGTGACCTCTCCAGAAAATAAAATAAAAATATAATTAACGTATCATCACCAAAATCTAATAATTTCCTTTTTTCCACTCCTGAACTATATAATGAAAATTTCAATAACCTATGCTGAAATTTAATAAATAATAATTAACTATTGCATCATCACCAAAGTCTAATCACTACTTCCTTGGTCCACTTGTGACCTTTACTAAAATGACATCAAAATCTGTACATAATTAATTAAATTAATTATTTAATTAATTAATGTATCACCACCAAAATCTAATTATACATTGTATCTTCCTTGGCTTGGCCATTTGAGACCTTTCCTGAAAATATCAAAATCCGCCCATGACTTTTTGCGTAATGCTGTATACAGACAAACAAACGCACCAACGGTGACAAAAACATTAGCTCTTCAGTTGTCGGGGGTAGGCCTGTAATAACTGTAACTTTTGCAATATATTAATCATCAAAACATCTTGTGTCAAATTAGGTCAATTATCATGGGAGTACTTAGGTCACATATCTTCAAACTGCTTATCTTTTATCCACGTCAGCAATATTACATTAATTTGCCTATTTTTACCAACAGCTTTCCCTTGATGAGACAAACTTCATCTGTGCCACTTTGATAACCATAAATCAGAAATCACGACTGTCAGTATCGACGTATTGTTTGTTCCATTTCAAGGCCACTTTTTTCCAAGATATCCCAAATCCCATAGTCAAGCGTATTTCATGTATTGCGTTACGATAGCATTCACTATCTGAAATTAAAGACCATATTCAATGAACTATAACACAAGAAAATGAATATCACTTCAGGGTGGGTGTAATATAAATTGATTAAATTTGAAATTTTAAACGCCTTGTGGGACGTACGGAAAGTTCCATGTTTTAAAAATAGCATCCATTGATTATTTTTAACCAGAAACCCATCCTACAGTACGTGTTAATCAAAGCGAAACCAGACAAGACGGAAAATCCAACAAATTTGCTGGTATAAAGGGTGATCATTGGGTTTCGTAGCCAAACACTGACCCATCTGGGACGACTGACGCTGACTGATCACGACGCAATACTATAGCTAATTGTACAACCACCCAATATAGTAACGGAAGTCTATTTTGACGCAGATTATAGCTGATTAAAACAGGTAGGTTTTGTGACGTGTTAATTATAAAATTCATTACATCACAGGGACTCTCTTAAAACCTTTAGTGCTCCAAGAAAATTTTTTTTTACTGTATGTTTCTGGCCCCTGACAGTTAGCTTAAAGTACAATGTACAATGCATATAGGACTACATGTAGGCCTATGTATTCAGGTGAGGGCTCATTCCCAATAAAAATATCGGCCTACGTAGATAGACCCAACAACGCGGGACTCTCACTGAACGCAATAACGGATTAACACCGTCAGAAAATGTTAAAAAACCACTTAGCCAAGTAGTCATTTAAATATTATTTATTAGTTTTTATTTATTTATTTATTTGATCCTTCTTTAAATTTGACTGTTAGGCCTATTAATTACGCCTATACTGGTTAAGGATACTGTCACGGTTCGCCTAAAACTCCTTATTTACTGTCTTACATACATTCTTTTGAGTGATAGATAAATCTTGAGTGTTCAGTGACTGAATATATAAATATTTACACATGTCGACCTTACGGGTGGCGTAATAATTGCGATTTTTGGGTAAAAATTGAAAATCGGTTTTTCAAATTTCTCCTTTGCCTGAGCACTCACGATCACTGTTTCAACGCCGATTTAATGACACGATTTGGTTCTCCAAAATCGTGCCAGCGATTTTTCTTAAAAGTTTTACTTCAGATTTTATGGTTGATAAAGCAAAATAATGCCTATGTTTAATGAAAATCTGTAATTAGGGGCTCATAACAAAACATTTAAGCAAAATGACGGCACGGTATTGTAGCCCGTACTCATCTGATCGACTTGCATCCTCACCTCAAAATAGAAAGGTGTTAAATTGACGATTAAAGCTTGGAGTTGCCTATGCTTATACATTGCAATAAGAAATATAAACGCCGATATTTTATATCTTCGAGGGTTTTTTTTTCTTTGCTTTAAATCAGCACAAAGACAGGTGCATACTTAAATAATAAGATGCAGGCAGTGGCGTATTTAGAGGGGGATCAGGGGGGGTGCTGATCCCCCCTTCGTTTTCTGGTCCCCTTTTGAAATTAGAATTTTGACTAGGGGAATCATAGTTCTAAACCATACCAAATGGCTCCGTTCGCCCTCTAAAATACCAAAATTTCCGAACCCCACGCCAAGAAGGGGGGGGGGGGGGGTAGGGTCGGCTTCGCATCCGCGGACCCCACTTTCAAATACTCCTGGATCCGCCCCTGTGCAGGTAAAAACCTCATTTTCGGTATCTGGATGATAATAAAGGGTTACAATATCATTAAATTGATTATCAGAAGATAACGGGAGTTTTCGCAGTCCTAAAATAGGCTGTTCTCCTATTGATTGAGGCCTTCTATTGACAGGGGGTTAACCGAATCCTAAACCTTGAAGCTAGGTGTCTTATTCTAGATCTTCCTACCAAATCGATTTTTTTCCTACACAGGAATCGTTGTACGACCCGTCCCCGCACTTGCTTTCGATGTTGTACACCATTTTTGATTAATTGATTTGGTTTTAAATGTTTCCCTTTCGACAATCACGTCCTCTTGCGCAATTCAAGAAGAAATGTTTACATAATGATATTAGATGGATAACATAAACCAAATACAAGATTAAACAAAAATAGTGGAAAGACCGGGATGGGAGTGGAAAAAATGATAACTGCAATACTCCTGATACTCCTGTATGTGATACCAGCATGCTGATGAAAATAAACTGCTTCCTGTATTTCATGCAGTTTATTTGTTTTCAGTCGATATCTGTTACACAAAATCATGGCTTCGGTTGAATCGATGGAAGAGCCACAAACGTTTTCCTCTGAAGGTAAGAACATTATTGAAAGCTCTTCTTATCACCAAAAGAAACTTTAACCGGAAGATTGGTTTAAATCTTTGGACCAAAAACTTGATCTTCTTTAGTTCAAGATAAATGTAGAAGCCCTACATGTAGTTCACCTAAATAGAGTAATAGTATACATAATGTAATCTATGTATTTCTTGCTATATACAGCAGGTGCAATATTATCATGGGTCGGGATAGACAAAAGAATGGCCTAAAATTTAAAAGCTAAGACAACATCACGGACATTTTTTTATAGACCGTTACCTTTTCATATGCTCCAAGGAATTATTCTAAAATAGCAAATAGTGAACTTTAGAAAGAATTAACTGATGGCGTACAAGATATACTAAGCAGCTCTTCGGAAAGTCTTTTTAAAGATATTCCTTATTAATCATTTTATTTTTACATCTTTAACTTAAATGGTTTCATATTTCACTTTTGAGAGCTCCGACAGAAACCAATCTTTGCCGTATATGTTATATGTATCAACTGAATAAATTATTATTATTATTTTAAGGAAGCTATTCTATAATTGTTTTTAGCAACATATATCAGTTATCTTTGGTTGATGGTTGCTTTTTAATTTACACCTGTGATGTATTTTGTATTTCGAAGATAATTCTAGAGCGGATATCATCGTGAAAGAGGAGCCAGAGGACCGCGTACTAAGAGAAATACGCAAATACAAAATCCCTAAGCTTAATGGTGTCCAAAGAGAACGCTTGTTCACGGTGCTAGCGAACCTTGTTGGCAATAGTACTGAAAGTCCTTCAACGCAGCAGGAAACGCTTGGACGGATACTGGATATTCTGAACAACCTGCCGTCACGCAAGTCCTGGTTTCGAGATCTCGTTCAGGCTTTACGACAGGCGGGTGACACATTTTTTAAGCAATTAGCTGTTGATTTGGAAAATGGTAAGTTAAGATAAACCTCATACACAATCCTCGAGGTTAATTATTCCTGATTACTGTTCCTACTGCCTTGAAAATCCATGTTTTAAAATCACATTCTTGTTGAGAACGAAAGGACAAAATAAGTAATTGAGTTGTGATGTTTAAATTTCTGCAATTATCGTCTGTTCCATGGTGCGATATGCATATGAATGCCTCTATATATGGAAATTGTACAGCTTTTGATATTTTTTGAAGAGTTTCAGGAAAGTCGGCGAGATATGGACGAGGGGGAATGGGAGAGCTCTGGGAGCGAGGATATTGGTACGTTCTTGTTTTATTTCAGTAAGGTTGAATGCTATTATCTCATCAGTTCACGTATTGGATCCGTGATTTTGCACAAATGAAACTTGCTGAAAAAAAAACTAATAATTGACTTCCAACGTGGCTTATTCACAAGTGACTTATGTTTAACATGGCACTGAAAGAATTGTATGTTATTCAGATGGAGACGAAAACATTGGGTTGAAAATCCCCCCTTGCTCAGAATCGTTTTACAGAGAACACAGTACGGATTTTGAGAAGGTAAAATCTAAAATTGAAGGTTATTTTAACCTTCTCTATTTTAATGATCTGTGTTACAAATGAAAGTAAAAGTCACAGTAGATGCTGAGAAGACCTCCCTCCCTCTCTCCCCCCCTCTCTTTCTCTCTCTCTCTCTGAATGCGTTACGGGTATTATGTGGGTTGCAATGTTATATATCCCAACCCTATTGTCTTTGCAGAATTACAAGAACACATCGTCACCAAGGGGCAGAGTATTAGTCATAAACAACAAAAAGTTTGACGGGAAAAGAGATCGACGTGGAACAGAGCACGACGTCGCCATGTTGGAGAAATTATTTACGGGACTTCACTATCAGGTCGTAGTCAAACACGATTTAAAAGCACAGGTATGCATAGTCAGGATGATGTGTCGGGTGGATAAAAAATATCCCAAGTTAATGTATCGAGTGGACGAAAAACTTCATGAACTTAAGAATCGCTGTTATCTATGATAATTCAGTGACATTGAACCATATGCTATTTCAAATGATTTATCACTTGATATTCAATATCAATTGATTTTTTATTTCTTTGATTTGATACGTGAAAGAAATCTTTTTCTTCTAGTTATCAGTTTATAATGATTCGGTTAAGTGACTTCTTGCAAATCTGTTTATAATGATTGGATTAAGCGTCTTCTTGCAATAACTGAACTGCTGAACCTTCTAAACTATGTTTGATTATATTAAATATTATCAATTATGAACACAGATAATTTACGTGAGAAAATTGTTAATCATATTTCTAACTTATATTGTTTTTTATTGTTTTTATATTATTTATATTATTTTCTTATAGGAGATCAAAGATGCTTTACGAGAAGAAAGTCAAAATCCTGTGCACGAATCCCTTGACTCCTTCGTGTTTGTAATTCTCAGTCACGGAGATAAAGGGATTGTATACGGAACGGATTTAAAATTTGTGAAATACCAGGAGATTTTCAGCTTCTTTAATAACAAATCGTGTCCCGGATTAAGAGGGAAGCCAAAGTTGTTCTTTATCCAGGCGTGCCAAGGAAGTAAGTCCCTCCCTTTTATATCAGTTTTTTTCATTTGTCTTTCTGTCATCAATTTAATTTTTGCCTTTCAAAACATTCTGTTATAAATTACTGAGTAAAGATGGGGTTTTCATGTTTCCAGAGAAGAGGGACGAAGGTGCTATCTGCACTGATGAAGGGGAAAGTGAGGAGGAAGAGGAAACAGATTCGCCTGGTATTGTCATTCTTATTTTTAATCGAAAAAGGGATTGTAGAGAGTAAAATTGTTGAAATTTATTATAATTATTTTCTTTTTGTTATATGAAACGCAACCGCGCATTGTGCGCCACAGACAAGCGATACTGCTCTTCATATAGAGAGCACGGCATGTTTCATTTCGTGGTTGAAAATAAACCTAATGAGGTCAGGCAAAATCGATGAGTTTGTCAGGAACTTAGAAATTATTTCGCACCCTTTTCATCAAATGCAACAGGGATTGGGTATAAGTTTAGTAACTGTCAAATTTTGAAAGTTGACCCCAGGAAAAAACTTATTGTTTTTATGCTCAAGAATTGCCCGCACTTTGGATTTACCCCCCACCCCCCACTTTAAGAACACCCTGATTGACCTTAAACTCAGGCTGCTTTACCTGTTAAAACCGTATGTTTCAACAAATGTGTTAAAATGTATTTTAATAAATTAATTTGTCCTATATCGTACATGTATTTAGGAAACCATAAAGTATGACGAATTTGTTGACATTTAAATCTAATGTAGGCGCCGAAAATACGGTGTGCGTGGACGCAGAAGCATATGGAAACGACATCCGTCCGACCAACAGCGACCGACTAGTTGCAAAGGCAACAACAGAAGGTAAAAATAGCTAAACTGTTTTTCAGCTGTTAAATTGTAGTAATACGCTATAGACTACCATCCAATCATTCCAACAAAGCAAAAACGTTAAAGGTATAAAAATGTGGAAGTGGTAAGTGTTGTTCGTTTTTTATTTGGTGTTTTGGATTATGCGTGTACATGTAGCAACTGTGACAGTCGCAAAAAAGTGTTTTTGGTATATCCCAACATAAAACCTGTTCAGATTTCTTTTTATTTCAGAATACGTTTCATATCGAGAGGCAAAGAAGGGCACGTGGTTCATCCAAGCCATAGTTGATGTTTTCAGTAAACTTTCGTGTCAGGAGGACGTGGTATCGATGTTTACACAGGTGATGTACAATATTAGCCATGCAGTCACTTATAGGAGAGTGCGGGGGAGGGGGGGTGGTACACCCTCATGCACCCATGAAAAATACAGTGAATGTATAGGGTTAGGCGCCAAGCAAGTCCATATGATTTTGTCCGAATTTTTTTAGCGACATTAAGTCCAACTAAACGAAAAAAATACGTCCTTATATATATATATATATATATATTGCCTGAAGATAGTAGTAATGTAATCAGCCTGTTTGACCTCAAAGTATTGTGTGCATTTGCTGCAGTTTTCGGCTGATTCATCTTAGCTTCTCTGTATGCCAACAACATTGCAAAGGTGCCAAAAATTAGTCACCAGGCGCCAACTTATATCGCTTCTGTTAAAGGGACAATAACTCTTCGTATGAGATCTATATTTCACAATAGAAACATTGTGAATAACTCATAGAAATATAATATATTCTGTTTTACGACAAAAACAGCAGTTATAGCTATTATTCTGATATCTGAGATTGTCTTCAGATCACGTGACCTCAACTGATGGCTATACTCTGTTATATAATCTCTTAAGAGATTTTAACAAAAAACCAAACTTTTTAGAAAAAAAACCAGGGACTAACTTTGAATGTAAAAATGGATTCATTAACCATTGGTAAGTATGGGAAAATTGTTATTTACTCCAGGAAAATTCATTTTTTTGCCAAAACGAAGAGTAATTATCCCTTTAAGCGTCATATGCTTGTTATAGATATGAGGGAGAACATCTTTCCGAGTTCAACAGTGCTTGACCTATCAGAACACAATTACTCAATGAAGTTTTAAATACTGATTTTTTGGCGGTGCTTTCCTCTTTCTTCTCTTTTTTTTTCATATCTCATTGCTTCTATCATGCTGCTAATCTACTGCATTAATGCTCCTCCTCTGTACAACCCTATGTAAATTTTGAAGTAGAATTGCAGTAGGCTATACTGCATTTCTACTGCAAATATGCTCCACACCACTACTGCGTTTATGCTTCTTTGCTACTTCGATACTACTGCATTTTCGTGCGGGTTATTCCACGAAGAATCGCTGAAGTTCATAAAATAATAGCTAATTGATATAAATAAATCAAGACATAATTGTGATACCAATAAAAAACGAAGGAGTGGCATGAGAATGATATTGATGTTAAACTCGCCAAATATGTAAACGTTCAAATGGATGGTTCCATACTGGAAAACATCTCATCAAACTTACATCTTTTAGGTCATCATAGCTCTCAAATTTATATGTACTTCACATAATAATTTTGTTGTCCCTTTTGAAAATAAATTCGAATGAAGTTCCATTTTATTTGTCGGATATAAGCAGAATACACCAATGAGAGGTTCCCATCTTGGAAAAATGCTTATTTTGGCAGAACGCACATTTTCTATCCCCCAGTTTGGCTCTTTTCACTCTTGTAAATGTCAGAAATTATCTGAATGGAGACATGTATGTTTTATATTAAATGTTGATTTATAGTGTTTTCTGCTCCTCAACTTATTCATGTACAATCTTTAGGTTAACAGTCACGTTTCCCGATTATCGACGCCCAAAAATCAGAAGCAGATGTCGGAAGTCACTCATACATTATGCAAGAAAATGTATTTCTTCCCAGGTATAGTATGCTTAAATAAGGACACAACTTATCTTAATGTCCTGTTCAAACCAAATGTTCATTTTCTTCGTGAATGGTGTGAAATGTGTGGCCAAATGCAGCAGCAATTGAATCACAACATTTACCTAAATATGAAGATAATTAGAAATACATTTTATTTTGACATCACCATATTTTAATATTTTAAAAAAGATGTGACAGATATCGGGCATCCACACAAAAAATTCAACTCATTCTTATTAATTAGGTAACGGGAAAGGCAAATTGGTGGCTCCACCTAGAGATCTGTCCTCGATGCTGGAAGACATGCGTTGGAAAGAAAGCAAATTCGGTTCTGTAAACACTCTGAGGTAATACATGTACATATTTTGCTTTAACAATTGTACGTATTTGAAATTCCCTTTATTTTTACAATGAAATATACTTCTAGCTCCTATATGCATGTACTTATTTCGTGCGGTTTGCTGCCAATAAGATTAATTAACAAAAAATGATGGCACAATTACTTGGAAGGAGTTCCTTGTAATTTACCTGGCAAAATATCACACACACACACACACACACACACACACGATAATTTACCGCAGATGTTCGCAGATGATAATCAGCAATAAAAAGTTTCAATATTGTTGGAATTTTTCATAAAATTATCACTGTCTTTATTTTCATTTTAATTTATATATCACAAAATATAAAATACGCGTGCATAATAATATCTTTAATATAGCATCCAGCCAGAAGTCCTGAAACCAAGGGCGTACCAGAAGGAACTTGCTCAGCCGGCGATGGATGGGCTGAACTGCATTATCTACGCTCCACCAAACAGCGGGAAAACCCTCGTGGCTTTAATGATTGCCAAAAACCACCTCGAGAAGAGATGTGCTTCTACGATGACTGCGGCAACTTCGGGCAGGGGAGATGATGATGTAACTGAATTTAAAACGGCTGCGACCTCATTGGGGAATACTGTGCCCAAAGTTTTAGACGACGACGACGACGTCACTCGATTGAAAACACCTGTGAACACGTCTAGCGTAACGTCTTGTCATACTGCGCCTGCTGTTCGTGACAGCAATAATGTTGACGAAGTTACTCAACTGAAGGCCGTCGTGGACACACAAAGTTTAAAGTTACCAAAAGTGGCCTTTGTTACCAGACGGTTTGCCCTCCTAAAACAAACCTTCAAACACTTCAAGAAATACATGCCGCTATGGAGCACTGGCAAACGCAGCGGTGCGTCAAACTCGAATGTGCCACTGAGTGTACTTCTCCGACGCAAAGACATCATCATAGTCGTTGACAACATCTTGAAAAATTCACTGGAGTCGAAGGATGTTAGTATTATGGATTTCTCCCTAATCATCTTCGATGAGTGCCATCACTGCAAGGCAGACAATGACCACCCTTACAATCAAATCATGTCATTTTACGTTGAACAGAAGTTGAAGTTGGGTAAAACAGGGGAGGGAAAGTTACCACAGATCGTTGGGCTGACCGCCAGTCCTGGAGGGGGAAAACGACCAGTGGCAGAAAGTGTTGCACATCACATTCTTAAGCTTTGTGCCAATCTAGACGCCCGTCGCATTGTTACGGTGAAGGACAACCTGGAAGAATTAAACCAAATGAAACTGGAGCCCATAGACCAGGTTTGCATTGAGGTGGAGGAACGAAAGAATCCATTCAATGACCTTTTGGCGTCCATGATGGGTGAGATAGAAAGCAGGATACAAGTTTCTACGGGCAGTACCAAGGGCACACAGGAATACATGTCATTTGTAGAGGAGAAGAAAAAGGCTTTTCTTGAAGACGACGGTCCTAACACCGGGGATTGCCTCTTGTGTTTGGAACATTTGTTAGAATATAACAGTGGTAAGAATAATGTGTGAGACACTTGACATATTGATGTCTTGATTTGTAAGTTTAATATGTACGCTTTGTTACGCTATAGTTTCCTTGGGACAAAAACTTTTTCTCTTTGGCAATGCCAAAGCACGGTATATCTATTACACTGACAGACATTAAGGTTATAAAGAAAAGAAAAAGTGGCCTTTAATAAGAGATCATACTCCGTTTAGTACAATTAGAGTCGACACAATTATGGGAGTTAATGTATTTTCTTTAACAAAATGAAATGTTTAAACTGAAAATGAGACAGGTGAGCACAGATAGCCGTTTTGCAAATTTAAGCTTGGCTAAAACTCGGTGCAAATCATCGTTGATTTTGGCAAATACCCTGAAAGGTTTCAGATTTTACTAGACGTAATAACGGTGGCTATCGTTTTCACGGGGTGTTTACTTCGATAGCAGCATTTGTCATAACAGTTTAATGTAGCTTGCACAAAAATTTAAATGTCAACACTTTCACTGAAAATCTTATGTTTCAGCAATGGAGTTCTGCAGCTCAATGCGAATGGAAGATGGGCTTAAATCTCTGGAGGACTTCTATAATGAAATGGAACGCAAGAAAAGGCAAAGTGGTTTTGGAGCCATGGAGAGAAGACTACTAAAGCTTTTTAAAGGTATTGGACACTCGTTTACCAAATAGTTATATTTTTAAACAGAAACACAATAACAGAGATAACAGATGCTCCTTAACAGCTATAGTTAAAGCACTACTTGAAAGCATAAAATAGTTAAGTCTGAATATTAGGTTGCATGTTTTGTTTATGATTGAAAGAATTTATATGACAAATATGTATCAAATGTTGCCGGTGTGAGTGCATGTGTACATGAACAACAAAGATATAGGAGTTTGGAACGAGCATTGAAATATATTTCCAAACACAAAAAATTAAAAGTTTTAATTTTGCAGAGAAAGTTTAATTAGAAACATTTGTAAAATGTAAATGAAGGACCGAAATCTCTCCCATACGAAATTTATAATCACTTACATGCTTTTTTTCAGACAATGTACCACAACTAAGCTCTTTTGCGTCAAATGAAAGGACACCCCCAAAACTAAAGCTTCTGAAAGAACAGGTACTGACCAAACTAAGGAAACAGGAAGAAAATTTCCTTCCATTTAGAGGTAAGTTACAAAGTGTAACATTTTGGAAAATGTTTAAAAAAAGATGGCAATCTTAGTTCTACTAGTTGAAAACTCTGGAAACCAATGTACAAAATACAGACGAGTTTCCAGTGCTCTATGAAACAGGAAAGGAGTCTACTCCGTCAATATTTAATTTATATCAAATATTAAACATGGTGAAACTATTTTTAATTGAATTACAGCAATGATTTTCGTCAAGACTAAAAAGGCAGCCGAGGCGATGAAACGATGGATAAACAATGCTACAGATTTGCATCAGCTCAATGCCGATGTGTTTATGGGAATAAAATCATCGGAGAAGGGCGGGATGTCACCTGAGACACAGACGGCAATACTGAAGAAATTTGAATCGGGAGAAACAAAAGTATTGATTAGTACAAGTGTCGGTGGGGAAGGAATTCACGAGTCCAACTGCGGCATGGTTGTTATCTACGATCACATGTTTGATGACATATACAGCATTCAATCACGTGGACGTGCACGCACAACGAAAAGTACCATCGCAGTTATCGGTGCGGCAAACACAACAGCGAAGCATGAAGTGAATGTTTTATTAGAACAGCTCACAAAAATGGCCGTTTCTAGCATACAGCAAATACCTTCAGAACAGATGTTGCAGACTGTTGAAAACTTCCAGCGTGAAGATGCCCACAGAAGAAAACAAAAGCGGGAGATGATGGAAGAACAAAAAAAGATAAACCGCACCGACGACGTAACACTCATCTGCAAAGGGCTGTGCGGAAGGCGCGTATGCAACCTCTCTGATATTTGTACAATTGATTCATCCTACGTCAATCCAGATCCCGACTTCGCTTCTAATTTCGTCCTTTTCCGAGATCATCATAACAGTCAACAGAGAGCACTCGGTATTAAGAAGATTTACTGCAAAGTGTGCGAACAAGACTGGGGAAACACATTGAAGGGCTACCCTTGTTTAAAGATTAGCGCATTTTACACTGAGGAACGCGGGGTGAAGCAATCAAGGAAAAAGTGGTCCAAAGTTCCTTATTCCGTCAAGAAATTATATGCCGATGCGTAGAAGTCTACTATCCCCATAGTAATGGGAGTTTCCCACTCAGCGGTGGGAAGTGTGAATTATGTGCCAGACGTTCACATACGTGATAAAAAATAGTCCACAAAATACCGCACTCTGGAAATTACTGCTACCTGTAACAATGGCAAGTTCTTTCTAACATGCTGTCTTAAAATGCACGTTTCTCAATGGTGGACATAATAATTCAACAATTACATTTGATACAATATGGCATTTGGTAATGTGATGATTTTTAGAGGTAGGGGGTGTAAAAATGACAAGTCACAATTTCAATACGATTACTTACATTAAAATTTTATAAACGTTCTACATTACAATCCTTGGTAGTTTGGTTCACACGTTTGGAACACGTTGAATAAACACTTTTTGGTTTGGGGGTATACCGGGGTATTTATGTACCGGTATCTACCCGTTTCAACGTGGAGTTAATGCACGCTAATACGAAAACGACTTTAGTTTTTTTTCTCAACATCGATTACAATATCCAGATTTTTCTCTTTTTCATATAAATTTTTGAATTGATAAGAGGTCCTTAGCTTAAATGTGTTCCCAAGTGCACAATGTCAGTTATATATATCTCCAAATCCATTTTCAAATAAGAGATTCATGATACATTCACTCCATTCAGGTTGAATGGGCTTTTCTTTGGAAGCAATTTGTATTATCTAAAATGCTTGTTAGAGCAAATTAAGCAAGAGAAATGCTTTAGGTGAATTTTTTTATTAATCTTTATATTGTATAAGGACGCGGTACCCCCCTTCGGATATTGTACGCCCCATAAGACGCCTCTTTTAGTATCTCGTTAGGCTAAATATTATTCAAATGATATGATGAACGTAGATATGTGATATTTTGGTGTTATAAATAACGACGAGATTTGGATATAAAAAGGACTGGTGGTAGGTAGACTAAAAAGTTAAGATAAAGGCTGTGGGAATAAAGGTGATCGCTTCTTCTCGATCTACAAATTATTGAATCTAGCAATATAAGTATAGTATAGGAGTTCCTCCAGTTTTCTTACTACGTAGTTTGATGTTTTTGTATAAAAACCTTACAGTTGTAAACAAAAGCCGAGTTTTGGGTTTTCCGATGTAGATCTTTCTGTTAGAGTTGTATACTTATCACCTTTTAACAAACCTAAAAAATAACGGGTCACGAGAAAAGCCAACACGTTGATGGAAAAAGTTAATAACAATGATCAAATAAATGTTCCTTTGTCTTAAGTGGTGTAATTTGTTGGTTCTCAATAAGTCTTCTTGCGTCTACGTTTCGGGGAGTTATTTTTCCTACTACTGGTGAGAGGATTTCGATGGAAAAAATCCATTTGGCGTTTTCCGTAAATTTTGTTCTACTGCCCCTATTCCACACCGAATACGAATCCCACGAACCGCCAGAAATTGATTATTTTAGAAATCGTGAGGAATCCTGGAATTTTGCGTCTGATATAAATCTTGACAATGTAGGATTCAGTTTCAAGTTTCTTAAAAATAGACTTAAAGACTTGAGTATTATTCACCAATTATTTAATGCACAATTTACATCAAAATATATAGATTGTCTTTTGAAATAATCTAGATAGAAAACATCTTTTGTATTAGTATATAATATATTTGCTTGCACATATTAATCATCGCTGCTCAGTGAATTGTCATTAAAAAACAATGCATCTGCATTCATATATAGCTTTTCAAAAAATGTCACATAATACAATCCTGCATCAAAGCAATTTTCATCACCATCGAATCATCGTATTAACTGTTATTAATTATAAATATATAAAAAGCTGTGACCACTTTTCCAATTTCCATAGCTGATTTTTGCTTCACTCGGAAAAAAATTTGTATGCTCCCAAGTCCCCGCCACCCCACCCCCCTCCCATCCAAAAACAAAAAGCATCCCCTCCCTCCCTCCCTCCCTTTGATCCCTTATATTAGATCCGACAGTGTCTCTACAGTTTAATAGAGTATATTTCATGTTCTCCTGTGCTGATGTAGTCGTCCACCAGGAGGTCAGCTGTGTGATATGCTGTTAGCTCACAAGTGCCACTCTGTGTCCCAGTCACTGCAAACACCACACTATGACATATGGCGTCCTGCATACAGCTGTCTAAGCAGGCCAACATGTGCCTCACTGTCAACGATTTATGAACTTTGCTTGGGTCACTCAGTGCAAAACCTTTTCCAATTGCCTTTGGCTGGTAGAATCGCCTTCTTGACACCTTGGTGATTATAAAAGAATACAAATTTACATGCAAATGTATGAATAAAAGAATCAAGAAATACATGTACTGTAGTAAATGAATAAATGGAAGAATCAGTGAATGGAAAAGATCAATGACAAAACGTGGATGCAGGATAAACTGTACATTAAAACATCATCCAAATGGGAAGGTTTAGTTAAAATGTACAGACTGTACTGCATGAGGTTTTACACATCAACAGTTAATCAAAATATTAATACAAATATTTACAAATTAAAAGCCTTATTTATATAGAAACAAAAATGTATTATAACAGTATGTTTTCCTTAATTTAACACATGACCAATCCTACCAATAATTACCTTATTAATAAAATTTGAGTAAGCTCCCAGACTGAAGATGGCAGCACTATCAAGAGACTGGCCAATGACCACAAAGGCTTTACCATTTGAAAGTGACAAAGAATGGACTCCTGCAGGCAATTTAAAACTGAGGGTAGTTATGTCTGTCATTTGGACTGATGGGTATGGCTGTACTACAGCACCACCTACTGGGGGAAGGTTGTTCACAAGAACATTGTCCAAGTGGCAGGCATCAACTGCTAGGGTTATCATGGTTGGTGATTCACTTGTGCTGAGAATAGAAACCAAATAAGGAAATTATTACTAAGTTCACGCAATAGCGGAAATATAAACTTTCAAGATTTACATAAATGTTAATTTTTTTAGCTAAGATAATAACAGACTTATGAATTATACACAAAAAACTATTCAGAATCAATCCTAAAAATAAATGCAATAAAAATAACAAATAAGTAAAAGCAAAACTTACAAAAAGAAATTGCTTCCTCCCTGCTGTACAGGTGGCAGAACAATCACTCCAAGAGAAGACACATTCTCAGCTTCCACATAGGCAACTACAAGGACAGGTTTGCTTGCTGTGATGTAAAAGCCACTGTTGTCCACTGAGGCAGGAATGACCACTGACTGACCACGTTTCTTAATTTTGGTCATTGTTCCATTGGCAAAGGTTAACTCTGTGTGGTCAAGACTTGCAAGGACCTTAACCTGGACATTGTTCATCTTAGGCTATAAGATAAAAGAACTGCAGTATAATAACATTGATGAATATGAGGCACCCATTTATCTTTAACAAAGAGCATAGTTCTAAAAGTACACTGTTCAAATGAATATTTTCTTTCGGAGTTTGTTAAGTTCTTTAAAATAGATCCGTCTTGCTACCTGTTACATGTTTAGTACTTAGTAGTTTGGTACTAAGGTGCCTGCATAAATGTTATAAAAAATCCACCCATATATAATAACAAAGGTATTAAATACAAAAAAGAAAAAAAACCTGAGTGAAAAATCTTACCATAGCAAAAACTGTCCCCCAAGCTTCCACTGGTATCATCTGTTCCACCAAAGTCCATGCTGTCTTATTTTCTGCTGTAATATTTTTAAAGTTACTAGATCCAATACTTGTCAAATGAATGTTACCACTGTATACAGCTATGGGTTTGTCTGCAACGACTCGTGTCCCTGTCAAATCACCCTCACTCTGTAGTTGTAGAACCTCATTGTCAGCCATGGTCAGATGGATTTGTTGTCCCTTGGCATATTCTTGTCCGTCATAAGTGACTCCGGCACCAAGGGTGACGACAACATATGTTCCATTTCTAGTCGCAACCACATCTGTAGGATAGAAATCGAAAATATTCTTTAAAATGATTCTGGTGAGAAAGATTAGGTATCTGTCTGTGCTGGTGCAGTATTCACCAACTGCAGATGCTACATCTAAAAAATCAAAACTTTTAGGCCCTAAAGATACACACACATCAAGTAAGAAAAAACTTTGTAGCTCATTTATGGTATGGTTTCATATTATATAGAATTTTTTTAAATCACTAAAACCGAATTTAAATCCATTTAAAAACAATAAAAACTTAATAAAGAGTCTTATTATTTTTAATCTATTGTAATTCACTAGCTGACGTTAAAATATACAACAAATGTCAATCAATCCATCCACCTATCAATCAATCAATCAACATGTCAATCAACTTTGTCCATAATCACCTAGTTGAGTCAAGTCTCCAGAACTACTTTCAGGAGTCCAGCAGACGGCGAAATATTCATACCCAAGTGAAGAAATGGGCATCACTTGAAACCAATCCTCTCCAGTGCTGTTATTATTGTCTGAGAGTTGTGCTGGAATACATACAAGTTATTACCACCTTCTTTCTTCCACTCTTTCTTTTTCTAATACTTATTATATACTTCATAATGTACACTGAATCTTATTGGGTAATGAAGGGTCACATGGTACACAATATCTATCAAAAATTTTAATTAATAGCAATATTAATTAATCTATCCCTCTGGCTCTGTCTTAACTATTTTACAGAAGAGTTGAAAAATGAATGTGTCAATGCACCTCAAGGTTAATTTAGAAACAGTATATTATGATAATTATATAATTCTCACCATGCACAGATATTTTCTCAGTAGCAACAATGGAGATGGCATTGTTGGCCTTGTTGCTTCCAATCACCTGTAAGCCAAGTGATGCCAGCATTACATTGGCCATGGCACTTGATGATGCCTGTACTGTCATTGACATATCACAGCAACTATAATTATAACAATTTGACATTGGCTCAAGATGAAGGTATTACAATTGTTTACAAAAAGATGTATATCACTATATTAATGTAAATGTTTACTTCTACAAATATTTCAAGTAAAATACTTGCATCATCAAATACAACCTGACAGTGCCACAAAAGAACAAGTAAACACTGGCCATGAAAATTACAAAGTATCATTTTTCTTTTCCAAATACATCCAAATTTGAAACCCGGGGGAAATGGGGAAATTTTGAAAAATAATGTCATTTTATATGTCATTTAAATTTTTTTTTCACAAATAAACTGATGATTACCTACCCTGGAGCTGTGACAGTCACATTCGTCAATGCCACGGCACTAAACACAAGCTTCAGTATCATATCATTCCCAGACCCTTCAGGAAATGGCATCCTGAATTCTAACCCCATGGAAGAACGTCCCTCTTTGCATGCGGAACCCTTGCACTCTGTAACGGGATCTGTCGTGCAGTCCTGGCGCATGCAGTACTTCTGTGTCAGCACGTTGTTCATGTAACCCGTTTTACAAGGCAGGCATTTGTCGCCCAGGTCATTTGTTACTCCACCTAAAATCATTCATTTTTTTTTAGTATATATATATATATATATAAAACTTTTTTTGTAACAAAAATTCAGTGCTGCTTTATATCAGTATTGACCAATAATAATAATAATTATAATTACTCACATTTATATACATATTATGTAGAAGAATAATTGAATTTCATTTTCATGTACTCAGTTATTTCCCTTCAGCTTTAAATGAGTCTCCAGTTTAGAGACAGATGCAGTAATTTTCTTTTTGTGGAAAAGGTACAAAGGAGAATGGCATTTTCTAACCATGAGGACACTTAGTGCATGATGTCTGTCCTATGTCTGATGATATATATCCAGGTGGACATTTTTTACACTGGGTACTCCCTGTATCACTAGAGTATGTCCCCGCAGCACACTGGGTACATCGGACATTGCCATGGTAACCTGTTGGAGAATACGTTCCAGGAGGGCAGGCTGAAGAAAATGTTAGAAACAACTGCAATTTGTATCAATTTTTCAATCCCCCTAAATGTAAAATATAGAAAGAACAACTCTTAAACAAATGCACTCTGGTTCATCCAATTTAGGGGTAGGAATTTTTTTGATGAATGTCTCCAATTTGGGCAAACTAAAGAAAAATTTCCAGAAATATTACTTGACTTGAAACAGTCCAAATGTTTATCATTTGTAAAGATAATGGTTCATAAAAATCATCTAAAGGGTGTATCTTATGCAGTTAGTTCAAATGATGAGCATATTTTTTATCCAGATACTATAAGGTTGAAATCGCATGATCAAATAAATAGTAAAAACAAATTTCTCTCAATAATCAAAATTAATTTCTTTCAAAACTTTACTTACGTGGCCGGCGCCTGTGTCGTGCCTTACAACACTGGGCAGTAGCACGCTGGTTACCATGACAATAACACCGATTGCCAAAGTCACCGACAATTTGGTTTTGAAAAGTTAGTGAATTGCATCCATTGCTGCAGGCACAGCTTGCAACGTTGGCTGAAAGTGAAAGTGAAAGCAAATAGTGCACAGAACACTGCTGAAGACACCGGTTCTCTCAAATGTGTTTTTCATGGTAAATGATTTTGGGGCAAAAATCAATAATGAAGGTGTTTATAACTAATTTAGTATTACAATCATTCCAACAGTAAAGGCTTTTCTTTCTCTTACCTCCAAAAAAATACCACTTCATAAATCAAATAAAAAACTTAACTAGAGTAACTTCTATATTTTTTGACATCTTATTCAAATTCAAACCAAACTAAGCAGATAGGATATAATGCAAAGGTCACAGCAACTTAAAAAAATACAAACTTCACCCATACTTTCCAAATGAAGAAACAAATCCCTTTAAATACACTTTAAAAATATAATTAACTTCAATAACCTTGGCTTACCTCTGGACCCAATAAATTCATAATGGTCCCAAGAAGAGTCAGCAACAAAGTATTTCATTGGCTGACTGAATCTGTTTTGGTTTTTCAATACACAATTACTGCTGCCTGGGCTGTAGTCTATGGCTTTACACTGGGTGTCTGCGTAGCACAAATCCATGCACTCAGCCAGGGTCTTTGTGGAAGAAGTGATGGTAGACCACATGACATAATGACCCAGAATGTGGGAAAAGGAATCCCGGAGGTAATCGCCTTGAAAAAAAAGGACACTTAGTTTTAGTTTATGTTATGTGAATGCAGTGTATATGGATAGTTTTATTTAAACAGCTTAAAATCCAGTTTTTGTTTGTTTGTTTGTTTTTTAACATTCTAGCAAAGCATAATAAATAAATAATGCAAAGGCCATTTCTGCATCTTGTTTTGTCATGAAAATATTAAAAAAAATTTAATATTCAAAATTACAGTTGCATGCTGAAACAAATTCAACTTTTTATATCCTTTATTTGATTATATTAAATAAAATTAATAAAATAGTATGTCTACTTCACCCTTGTTCTTATACCTCTAAAGCCATCAAACACAAAGTTGTTGTAAAATGGCCATGATCCCTTCATAAAACTGTTGGAATCACTGATGGTGAACCTAGTGTCGTAACTCAGGTCACAAACATAATCAGAGTCTGGAAGAAAAATTTATTCATCAGAAATTCATTTCTAAAACACATCATGCTTAATATTCAGTCATTAATTACAAGAAAACTTCAGTGGTCTTATGATTCAATGAAAGATGGGTTTCAATTTGATCATGTTATTAAAAAGAAGCTTGACTTTTAATCAAAATTTGTCATACAGGCTAAATGTTAATACAAGATATCTGAAGAAAACACTAACCTTAAATTTACGTGAAAAAATTGATATTGCATAGGCAGCATTTCACTTGTACATCAACATTATTGCAGTATGGCATGACTAAGTTTCATGATACATGTAATAACCTTACAGAAATATGCTCAGATTTATTCTACTCTTATAAACTGAATATTGAACCTTCACCAGGAGTGATGTAATTGGACTGCAGTTTTTGGTCATTTCCACTTTCATTTTTGCAACTTTTTTAATACTATTTGTGTTTTTATGAGTTTTTGTTCTTTGCCTGGTTACTTTTAATCAGTATCCCCAACAAGAAGCATAATTTGATTGAAAAAATCAAAGACAACTGTGGCAGAAAAGTGCCTTACATCTCAGATCACAAATCATTGATTTTCGACAGTTTCTATCAATTCTTCAATTTTGCAAAATTGATAACACCGAGTAAAGAACAATAATCATAAAAACACACTACTTGTATTTAAAAATGTCACACAAATAAAAGTAGGAATGACAAAAAACACCAATCTAATTACCTGTCCTGGTCAAGATTCAATATTCGGTTTGCCAATAGAGAAGAATCAAACAACAAAAGTCGTGGATTTTCAACCAGCTTTATTTACACTAAGTTCTTCCTCCAGTCCAATACTATTTACCCCCAAATCTTAACTTTATATATTTTGTTAAAATATCACCTATTAATCTATAAATTATCATCTTCCAATGTTATCTAACTTCACAACATGGAGATACTAGGTAATAAAAGATGTGCACGGCATGTTAGGAGACGTGCCCCATTCTTAGGGGCGACACCGCGTCCCTTTCAACAGCGACCTCAGCACGCTAAAGCTAGCTGTTGACTATGTATAAATTTACTCAGAACGTTAGAATTTCTGGTTTCTGTTGCAGTTTGGTAGAATTTCATTGCTGCACAAGCGACTGTATGCTCCCCCAAGTTACACTGCTGTGGATTACAGTAATTCACTTCCCCGACTTCGCGGTACCGTTTACGTTTCAGGGTATATCGTAGTTACATCTACAAGTAGTTTTGTTTGTCTAATGTCAATGAAATATGGATCATTCTATAAAACTCTTGTGTATTGCTATTTATATAAAAAACTGACATCTGTCTCTGCTTTGTTTGTTCAATTTAAATTGTTCAAATTAAATTTGGTCTCGGCAAGACTAAATGAACCCCACAAGGCTGCCACCTCTGAAACAAGTGATCGCATTATGCTCGGAGTCCTGCCTCAGTCTGTGGGCGTACTGCAAGATACAAACCGTAAGTTAAAACTTACTAAAGTAGGACACAACAAACCCCTTCTGTCAACTCTGAGTTTCAGCAGTTACTTGAAACGACGCTCAGAAAACCTCTGCCGTTTCCGTTAGATGCCCAGGCAGAGGAATACCAATAGATGACTTTAGTTTCCAGCAAAAAGCGAGTCTGTCAGTCTTTGAGGACGTTTTATAGATTCCCTCAGCGCGCATAACGCAAAATCCTGCCAATAGTTATGAAACCGCGCAAATTGGGAAGGGGCGGACAAAGACTTCTGCTCGATGCCCGCACAGTGACATCTGCGGTCATTCCGGCAGAAGTGCACATGCTTCTTCTCGATGCTTCCTTCATTAACTGGACGGTCATGTTAGCGTACTTGTTCGCATTCTGGTCAGATGTCCAGTTCGTTGAATAGTCCAAGTTATAGAGGAACCGCCCACGGAACTTCCGCAAGTAATGAATGAAGGGCGTGTGCAAGTCTTGCATGGCTGTAGAACTGACGACCTTGGTGACCTTTACGTGCTTATCTTCCGCCGGGAACACCAGGTCGTAGTTCCCGATGTTAGATGATTCGAACTCGTTTTCGCACATCTTGGTCGATATCAACTTCGTAATGTTCTTATCGGAAACTAAACTTAAGGCCACTCGATACTGTTGGAGAAAGCTGTCATGGTCCAAATCATCGTGGATGCGCTTGGTGGCTTGTACGGCCAATGGCCACAGCTGGTCACTTGTGTCAGCAGGAGTGACAAAGCCAATGCGGTGAAGGCCTATGAAACATCCCACCGTGTTGCTCATGTCATCTGGTATATACCGGCGTAATGTAACGGCGTGCCCGCAGAGAAAGTCCAACGGACGTGGCGTGCCACCTTCGTTGATCATGCGGGACAATGCAATACTGGCGGCGGCGACGAAGATGCCGTTGACCGTTGAACCGTGTTCTTTACACTTAGCCAACAGGTTCTCTGTCTCAGACACTGACAACTCCAAGGGAACGACCCTCGTGCGGCCGGTATCACCTTCATCCAGTTGCGGTGCTGGGAACTTTTTCAAGAATAAATTCTCATGGGGGAACAAGAAGTTGTAAATTTCTTTTCCAACTCGGATAAAATCCTTCATGCGGAACTTCATATTTTCATCTCCAATAAGGTGCTCTGCCGTCGGTTTCACAGTAGTCACATCGTTTTCCTCTACTGCCTCCCCTGCTATAACGGCGTTCAGAATATGGGCAAGGCGCGTGAGCATGATGATGTTCGACTTCCCATCTATGATGCAATGATGGAAAACGAACACCAAGACATTTGCAAATCCAAACTCGTTCTCATCACCGCCCTCGTTCTTGCCTGATGATTGCGGAAAGCGCAAAAGCATCACCTTCCACAAAGGTCCGTTCTTAATATCAAACCTCAACTGCAGCAAGTTCTCATGAAAATCCTTCCAGTCACCAGGGTCGCTCAAATCTTTCACTTCATAGTCTACGTGAGGATCGTCCATGAACTTAAAGTGCCTTTTGCCTCCTTGTTCCACCACTCGTAGTCGAAGCGTTGGGAAGTTCTTCTGAAGCAGGATCAGAGAGCGCTCCCACGTGCCATCTGGCACATGCGTCTTCGTGTTGATCCACACGCTGAACACGTTGGTCGTGTTGCCGTATTCGTGCAAGACACACATGGCGTTTTCTGTTCCGCCAAGTGGCCGAAGCGTTTCGGATTGAGATGCCATTCTGGAGACAGATCACGCAAAAGTTTACCTGAAAATATATTTTGAAACCCATTAATTCATATGTTTTGTCCAAAACTCTAAGGTCTAAAATGCTTCCTATCATTCTGAACTTCTCATACACGCGTATGTTAGGTTCAAACTATCTCAAGATAAGTATGAGCGATACATTTCACTCAGCACCATGAAAGGGAAAAACTTTATTTATATACAAGGATTTATTTTAATATATAGATAAATAAAGTTAAATCGTGTAATGACCAGTGTAACCCAGACCGATGAATACCTCATTGTTGCTACCAGCTGACTTCTTAAATTAACACCACCAATATTTATTAACGTTACCATTATTAATTTAGTAAGAATTATAAGGTCTCGATACACTCTTATCTGAGCGCCTGGTAGTATCAGCCTGGTTCACAGTTATATAGTTTTTCCTGTTAAACCTAAATATCCAAGTCCTTATTGTTTTTCCTCGAACGATAAGAAACTAGTAATTCTCTGTACACAAGCGGCTCTTCCACGCACAAATGGATATAGTCAATCGATCTGATAAAAAAAACTTTAACAGTAATCGAAATATTAGAGGTAAACAATTTCAATATTTTAGCTGTTGATCGAAGAAAAATTACTTTATTTATTCTTATAACAAAAGACAGCTGATGAAATTAATCTCTGACATCCAATCAATCGACTTTACTATAAAGATTGAAGACAGTTGTTTTCCATTATGTAGGCCTAACCTGTATCAACGTACTATATTATGTTGCCTACTCTACTAGATTTTAACCTGTCCCAATAAATGACCGGACTGACGTTTACCTTGGATATGGACGCCTGGAGCTTTAGATTTAAATAAGTGAAGTTTCAATTATAGTTTCTACAAACAACTTGCAGCTAAATCTTAAGAATTATTACTAACTGAATACAACACTTCAGTGTCTTAATATGTTGCCAGAAATTTAGCTTTTTTAAACCATATTTGTAGCTTATAGTACGTGAATAATGCAGCTGATGAATTTGTTCACTGTAATAAATGACCAAGGAACTGTTCCTTCTTCATTAAGACGAAGATATTTATACAAATCTGAGTAAAACTTTTCAATTGGCTTACCTGTAATACTGGTACATGTATCTGTCTCAGAAATGGTGTGATGCTGAATATTTGGGAACACAGAGTTCGACTGGACCAAATCACTGATCAAGTACTGGTTTATGTACACTGTAACTCGGGTGAGGCTGATAACGACCCGGCGACCTAGTTTACCTGTGTGTTATCTAATACTATCCGCAAACAGGAGAGAGGTAGAGAAGGGGGAGGGCACACCCATTTTCACTGACTAAGCAAACAAAAACTTCTTCAAACTTAAATGATTCTACAGTTTAGCTGTAACTAAAAAGTACAAGAAAGTGCTATTTTCTAATTGTGTATTTTATCAGCCGTAAAGAGAAAATTGTTATAAAAATGAACAGTTATTAGTTTTCTTATATTAGATAAAGGAAATAAATAGGAACTTTTCAGCCGATTTCACAGCATGACGGCTGATTAAACAGGTACAAACAATTTACATTTGTTATCACACGAACATGAAAATAATTCAGGGTGTCCACGTTGTAAAAAAATCCATGAAAAATAATTTAAAGAAATGATCACAAACCTGACTAAGCGTAAATACAAAACATGATAGCTAGGTTTCTTCTTCGTATGGTATTGTAACAACAATTTATATAAAAGATTAAAATATTTATTACAGAATTAAAAGTCCATGTCTCACATGCCACGTCGCATCCCCACTTCCCGCTTCACACTCATGACCTCTGACCTACATCACGTGGCTTATTACATCATTACATCACATTACTTCTTTTCTTTCTTTTTTTTTTTTTAAATTTGAATATTATGACAGAACAACACATAACATATATACAATAAATGTAATAAACAATAACACAAAATGCATATAATACTAAATGTCAATTGGATTCATAAAATTGTCAACTTTAACTTTAATTCTTAATGAAAACGTTTGAAAAAACNAACCAACAAATACATTGTTTTTCAATCTGTTTATCCATTTTCTCCATCTAATGGCAACGCCTTCTGACTTACAGTCAAATTCATGATAAGTAGGTATCTGTATAGATGGGCTCGCCATTGTGACTGTTCAACGAGTTACACTGCGCTCATTCATTTTCGCTATAGTCAATGTTTATATAGATTCTTACTTGTTACTTTCTTCCCTTGTGAGACTGTTCCATCCTTGTCGCCAGATATGGTATTGTAACAACAATTTATATAAAAGATTAAAATATTTATTACAGAATTAAAAGTCCATGTCTCACATGCCACGTCGCATCCCCACTTCCCGCTTCACACTCATGACCTCTGACCTACATCACGTGGCTTATTACATCATTACATCACACTTCGGAAAAGCTCATGTTTTTCCAGATAACTAACAAGTTGCGGAATATCAGACACAGGAATGGTACGACAGTACATCGCTTCAAATGGCGATATTGCTGTCTTTCCATACTACAGTGTAGTATAATTTTAAAACTCCTATGGCTAGGAACCATTTAACTATGGGTCTCAAGTCCTAGGTATAATCAAGAGAAGAGAGAAGGTATAGGACCATTGGTGTAATCTGGGGTCCCTCAAACTACAAAGGTAGAACTGACAAAAGGGCGAGTCTTAATTAGGAATTGAGCAGAAAGACAAACAGTCAGACTAAGAGATTGGTCCACAGTTCACTGACAGTTAGATTGATGGATGGACCGACAGACAGACAGACAAGAGTACACGCGGACAGACATATGGTTATTCATTCCAGGTTAACAACAGAATAGTATGAATCACAGCACTTTGTATAAAAATATATACTTACACCCAGTATCAATGTCTCTTTGGTCAATAGTTTTACAACTTCCATCATTATGACAAAGTTTCAAACAATTGTTTATTGTAGTGCCATAGTGATATGCATTATTGTAACCAGACAATGCTGCATACTCGATGATGTTAAAATGGTCCATCCATGTGCCTATAATATTAAAATCAGATGTAACACAGTAAAAAATGTATCCTTTCATTTAGAATTTCAAAATAAATAACTGTCATTACCCATATTCTTACAAGTTATATCTCCATCAAGATTTAAATTGCAGAAAAGTATGTTGATAGACATATTCAAATGTAACCTTCTTTAACTCACTGGACTTATATCAGTGTCAATGAATATCTTAATCAGAACAAAATATAAGGGTAATTGGCCATCAATTTTCATGCAAAGAGTGCATGTGTACATTTTTGGGACCCCCTGTATTGTATGAAAACTTTTGGTTTACCTATCATTCCACAGTGAGCATAATGCCCAGTTTCTGTCACATGGTGGCATTCTATCTGAGGATCTGGAATAATGATCAGAGGTTCATGATAATGTTCTTGAATTTTTTATTTATTTATTTATTTATTTTTTTTTGCTTCAGATTTTTCTTACCTAATTTACAATGCCTATCTTCCAGTTTTGACCATAAAAAATTATCAGATATAATCTAATTTTTTTGAATTCAATAAACAGTCCAAACAAAGTGAGATCCACTCAGAAAAAGAGTCACATTAATTTCAAAAAGCTTATTTGTACACGTAAAATTTTATATTGTTTAGACTATAAATCTTTGCAAAAATAATTTGTAAAAAAAAAAAAAAAAAGAAAGAGGGGCATAAAAAAGGACAAGTCAGAGTTTTCATAAAAGCTTTAAAAATTTCCTACCGCCATTGTCAATAAATTCATAGTAATCATAGTTGTAATAGGAACTGAAACTTGAAGGTTGAGACAATCTGGTCTCTGTATTCAGCCAGCATCCACTACTAGCTACATAGTCATAGTCCACAGACTTGCACCTGAAATATGTGATATATATATGTATATATGTGTCACAGGTGAGATTGCGACTCAGTACATTTGGTGATTCTCCAAGGACATCTTAAGATCCTCTCTGTTCTAGGAGAATCGCTGTTCTGTGAACTAAAGTTCCAAAGCTCATCCTGCTCATTTTTTTAAGCAAATACAAAAACAGTTGAAATTTTCATTTTGAATTCTTTACGTTAAATAAAAAGTTAAAATACTCACTCTGGGTGTCGTAAGCAGAGAAGAAGGCATGTATCACGTGATACAGCTTTAGAATCTCCAAAATTGTGTCCAGATAGGGAATAGCCTTCTATACGCCGGAAGTAGTTATTCACTAAACTAGGATGGTCTGTAAAAGTTGAGAGAAAGTGCAAAATGAGATTTCCAATTATCTTTTTTTCAATAAAAATACCACATCAAAATTTACCATCAACTTGTTTAATGAAAAGGAACTACAGAATTCTTTTTATTATTATTCTTGTTTGATCATACTTGTAGGTTATATAAATCTTACAATCATAATAATTACCATTTGGCAGAGAAAAAATTGATACCAATTTTAAATTAGCTTTTTGTGTATGTCAATATTCCCCAAGGACTAATTTTTTTCTTTTTATAAGAACAATGCTTTGATACTTTTAGTGTAACAAATGTAACAATACTAATAACTTAATGATCGAGTGCTAAATGTATTTTTCAGTTACATTTACAGGCCCTATGTTCTACATAAATCTCTAAATATATCATACCACACATATCACATGTATAAACTTACGCCATTACGCCACACATAAGATATATAATTTATAATACATCTTCTATCACTGTATCCTTACCTTCCATTGTTGCAGTGTATCTTTCATATAAATGAGTTGTTCCTTGTGTTGTGATGCCAGGTGTTCCTAAGGTGCGGTGTGTGTCTTTGCTTAGATAACAATGGCCATTGGAAGGGTTCCAGTCAAATGAACGACAGCCAACCTGAAGTTCATGTCATTCAGTTTCCATTCTTTCCACATATAGAAATCACTGCAGCTACATTTAAATGTTATTAATATGCTTTTTTTTATCTACAGTGCTTGTATTACATTTGAAATTTAGTAAATATAAAAGACATAATTGTTAAATTTATCAAGTCATCATCTATTTTATCACAGTTTCTAGGATGCTATTTTATATTATAATGTAATCTTAAGTAATCATGATGGTAGTGTTATGAGAATCCAATGTGATCCTCACAATGTTGCAATAGAACCTTACCTGATCCTCACAATGTTGCAATAGAACCTTACCTGATCCTCACAATGTTGCATGCACCCTGAGGCAGTAGTGGTGGACCCCATGTCCCAGTGATTGTAACCATTGGTGGACGCCCCATCCCAGCGGATGTACTGGTCTTCTAAGAATCCTAGAATTAAGTGAGAATCCGTGGCTTATTTGCAAAACAAATATACTCCATTATGAATAGTTCTGTAGCTGTATAACTACTATTAATTGGTGTCAGTTTACAAACATAAACCTACTGCTTTTGATACCAAAGGTGGGGTATTGTTTCCAAAATTTTTAATTAAAATAACATAAACTGTTTGCATGTGCCCTCATGTAAGAAGCAATATGTCAAGTCAAAATAGCCTCATGTGTTACAATTAAGATGTCAATATATATTACATGTTACAGACTTTAGTATAAAATATATTAAAAGGCACTGAACATCATGACGTTGCAATATTACCTCCAGATCTTGGTTTCAGCAAAATGCGACAGCATTGAGCCTCGACCCAGTCTGAGGTGACCAAGGTGTCGCACGTGCACGTGTTGTTTCCACTAATCCACCATCCGTTGTTACAATTTCCACACGCACATGCAACAGCTGTAGGGTACTCGTCTGTAAAGTCAAAACATATAATTAGTTTCATTACATTATTTCTCTGTTTACTCCTTGGTACAATTCATATTGGAATTAACACAATTTTATTAGATGAAAACTTTTATCAGACTTTCATAATAGGTAAACCATTAGTCTCTTACAGTATTTCTTTCCGTCTTCCCTTCATGCAAATAAATAAATAATTAAAATTTTCAATTTTACAAATAAGATAAGATTATACTAAAATATGAAGTATTATGAAGTAAAATAAATAAAGTTTTGATTTATACATGTGTGCTTAATGACAGTAATCTCACCTGCTGGACATGTTGCTCCTGTATAGGGGTCCCCTCTTAAATTGGTACATTGAAAGAAAGCCTGGTAATCTGGACCTGATGAATACGAAAATAGACAACTGTTACAGTAGCACTGAGTTCATGATCAATGTACAATTTTTACATGATCTTTATTCTGTGTTAGTTAAATTTGCATTAATGCATGCATATAGTTGTAGGAAGACTTAAACATGTGCATATATATATATATATATATATATTGTAAATATTTATCCTAGGAAGGTGTGCAGTCATAACTGCACTAATGCTTCTGCAAATGAGAGTGCAATTGAAAAATTTGAAAAAAAAAACATCAGACTTATCACTCGATAAAAATGTGCAGTGACAATATTATCTTCCTCTAGAATTCGTTATTAATATTATAAAAAAAAGACAGTGAAGAGTAATTATTGTGTGAGAATTCTTACCTGGATCATACCCTCCAGGTGGTGTGGTTGCACAACATTGTGCGACAGCCTCTGTCTGAGTGCCACACAGGCTGCAGTCACACACACTCCCGTAGTTTTTGATGACCCAGTTAGCACAACTGCATCGACATGATATTGCATTTGGTGCATCTGAAACAAAAATTTGATATTCAATGCAATTCACATGCACGAGTTTTTTTTTCTTGACACTGGACACATAGTAATGTTTTAATAAAACCCAATCTAGCATTGTTAGGCAAGAGAAAAAGGGTCTTATTTAGTTTAATTATTACTTCAATTTCAAAAACCACTCTCTTATTTAATTATATTCTTTTCATGATTTATCAGTTTCACTTTATTAATAAATTCTTTCCAATATGTAACCATTTCACTTTTAAGATCCTTAAAAAAATTAAGATGTTGTAGCCCACTGTCAACATTGTTTTGAGAAATAATGCTTTTTGTTTTTTTTTTTAATAAATGAGTACTGTAATTACAATACACAGCAAGTCAAAAGCTTGACCAGATGTTGTGTTAATTGTATTTAAAACTCATCAGCATAATTAATAATGGTATCAATTATTTAACTCACCAGCAGGACATGTTGCTGTGTTTGATCCACTCTCTGTATGAGTCACACACCGCAGTGGGGCGATCACTTCACGTGCTGGAAAAAATAATTCCCAATTAAAAAAATTGTCAGTTCTCCTCAGAAAAAATCTGGTGCTTATACTCCAAGTATACAATGAACCTTTGATCATAAATTTAATCCGTTAATAAGATGTGCTAAATAGTGACGTCATAATTGGCTCAGAGTTGACTCACCAGTGCCATGTTAACTAATTGCAGAAACACACAGTCCTACTACCCCCTAGGCAATAACCTAAACCCTGCACTGGCTTATAGGTGATGGCGCGATAATTTAAACTTCGTGGCAGAAACTTCTACTGTTCTTTTACATTTACACATTTACAAGTGTAAAACATCATCTGTTTGGTAGTTTTTTTCAAAGGGCTGGTCAGTTCAAAAGATTTATTGAACTCACCAGGAATTTTGGAAAATTGTGTGCTACAGTCCTTTTAATATTTACCTTGTTTACACAGGTAGTGCTGGTCAGTGCGCTGGCACGAGTGGTCGTGCCAATTGTAGTCATCATTTGGTGACATGATCACACAAGTCTTGTTTCCTAAGTTGACAAAATTACTGGTATTGGTTAATGGATTATTTGAGCCGAATGTCAGCATCATTTTTCATAACAATTACATGAATCTGAATTGTTTTTTTCCTTTATTTATTTATTTTTTTTTTGGGGGGGGGGGAAGGGGGAGGACTATAGGACTTTTTCGTAAGAGGGGGGTCAGGGAATTTAATTCATATAATAACTATAATCATCAAATCTAATATACTTATATTTAATAAGATTAGAAAATTACAATTTTCATGACTTTAAATTAAACAAAATATATAAAAGAAAATATGCAGACAATATTTTTATTACCAATATTGATATATTCTTACAGTCATTTGAAGTATATATAGGTAATAATTACAAATACTGCTGTTATTTTTTTAATGTAAAGACCATGCATTTTAGAATGTGCTTTTGTGAAATGCTTTTAGCTTTGATTAAATATACTTTACCTATTAGTTAAGATATACAAGGCATGTTTTAGCGACTCTTACCATGATCAGGGAGCTGACTGGCGCAGTTCGCTTGCCCACATGGACCACACTTGTGAGGAGCAGTGGAACCGCATTGGCAGTTACCCGCAGTGCAGCATGCGCAGTCGTAACTGTTCGTGTCAAAGTAACACATGCAACCAGTGGGAGAAGTTATGAAGGGGCTAAAGGTGCTGGCTAAAGAATAAAAACAGAAAAAAATGCACCAGACTAGAAGTACAAGCCTACTTTTTTATACAATCTATGTTTTATATTTAAAATGTGTTGATAACATACTTCATGTAAGACACCTTTTAATTCTTCACATTTTTATTCAATTTCACTTCATTTCATTTCGTTCTCTATTTACATTTAAGTGTAATCCATGTAGTGCTATACACAAGTTTTGATATCAAAACAATAAAAATTATTCCTCTTATACAACTCTTTGATATTTCATATGAAGAAACATTGCGCATCAACATCATCATGTTTGTACCGTTTCCATTTTTTCATCACACACAAGCAAACACTGACCATGAGGGAATTAATAACAGTATTTCAATTGTAGGATATCACGGAAATGTCGGACCTGAGCCATATCCTGCTACTACTAATATATAATATAATTACATATTAATCCTTACTCGGAACACAATTATAATGTATCTCAAGATAAAGAGTGGCTCCACTGCAGGTGTCCGTCACACTGAAGGTGTTGGCGCTGGCATTGATACTACATCTCTGGAGTCCATTACAGGTGTCCACCACTGTGTTCAAGGAGTAGGGGTCAAAACAGTCGGACCGCTGAAGAAAACATACAGGCAAATATTGTTTTCATTGTTCCACTTTACAGTAGAACATGTACAGAAACAATGTCAGTATGTAATCTGATCCCTGAAGAAAATATAAGCCAGCAAATATTTTGTTAATAGTATAAGGGTGTATTCCCAGAGATTTAGATCGATCCAGGGATTAAGATTTAGATCGACCTAACTCCCTGGGGGTTCACGCTAAATTGCAGTCAGCCGAGCGCGCACCATAGTTAATTACCCCCTTACAGCTTTCAGTAGGCGGGACAGACGCTTAAGCCGGCTAAGCTGACAGTAATGTAGTGAGACTCTCCACAGGGATAGATCGATCTAAAATCTATGGAAATGGGGTCTAAGGCACCAAACCAATCATTTACCCTTTTTTCACTTTTTGATTGAAAATTAATGGTTTAACAATAATTGTATAAGAACAAAATCATAATGTAATAAGACTGCTGAAAGAAATGTAAAAACAAAGATTTTACAATATCAAGACATCTAATGACAAAATTACAAAGCTTTTTGAAAACATTTACTGTGAAATTATACAGTTTGTTTTCATAACATAACATAACTGGTACTTAATTTTACTCCATTTGATTTTAGGCTAATATCATAGTAGCTGATTTATTGCAGGAGAAATTTATCATATATTGTCCAAATTAATTTTTATGAAAATTATTTATACAACATAAATGATAGCAACACAGGGTACTTATGTAATACATACAGCAATATTTTGAAGAAAAAAAATCATTGTTTTTGATTACTGAATAATTTATAATATATTATATTATATTATATTATATTATATTATATTATATTATATTATATTATATTATATTATATTATTATATTTAATAAGTTACCTGTATGGTACTATTGCAGTGTGTGAGAGAAGTGCGTCCAAAGTTTGCGTAGGAGACCCTGATGACCTGTCCTTGACCACAGTCCAGTTCTGCCATATTGTTCTCACATGTGATGGACACAAGACGGCCCTCACCTGAATACCAAGGAAAATGAAGAACTGCATGACAGATTTGTAAATGGTTGTAAAGTGTTTAAGCTGTGTTTTAAATCTAGTTTTCTTACAATTCCTTAAATGAAAAACTTAATCTTAGACTAGCTGTTTGATTACAAACTGTACAATAAGCTTGACTATACCGTTAAATTATCTCAGCAACCTGTTGTTCCAAATTATTTTTTTTCAGTTGTTTAAGAATCTGTTCTCACCATGAGCAAAGTTGGAGTAGAAGACACTGGATCCATCTATCCAGGAATGGCCATGACCTCCCCACTGCATTCCAATGTAGAAAGAATGTCCTTCATAGAAGATGCTAAAATTTTATAGTAAACCTAATAAAATCATGAGCACGACACGTACATGTATTACAAAGTGAAAAGATCTCATACCTATCTTACAGCAGTTCAAAATCAGATGACAATGGGGAAAGTGTTTCCATCTTACACAGAGTTCATAGCATGATAAAATGCATATCAACCTCTTGGCTTCATTGTACAATTAAGGCTTGACATATCACATATTCAGCCTACTAGTACTTAAACCAAATGCTTTTCCTCAAGACCTCTGAATAGTTATGGTAAAAACTGGTGCAGTTTTAAACTGTTTACAAAGTAACTTGAAACAGGGTACACATTATATGATCTAAAATGCATACGTGATATAGTATGCATATTTGGGATGCAGAGATGGCACATTTTTTTGCATGTTTGTGAACACACAATAAGTGAACAACACTAACCTTGCTTTCTCTTTTATAAAATCCATCTCTTCAGCTGAGTTGATACTGGCCAAATGTCCACCATTCGTCTGACACTTAGTCACAGCATCCTCGAAGTTCAGTGTTTCTTCTGAAAATCTATAGCACTGCCCACGCCATTCAAACCAACCAGGTTCACAAGCTGAAAAATGGAGGATACAAACTTTGAACAATTTTTTTGCTATCTTTTTCTGTGATAGCTAAGTATTGGTTGAGTACATGTAACATTTTATGTCAAGGTAGGCAGAATCATACATGTAGCAACCTCTGTCATAATCTATCTTTAAAATTTCAATATCACTCATATGGTTTTCTAGAAATTTCAACTAAAAACAAATTTCTGTACAGGTACATGAAGAGATTCTAAAACAAGACAAAATATGAATTCTGAAAAACAATTCAAACATGATCCAATGCAGCCTGTACTTTTATGCCTCAAATTATGAAATATCAATAAAACATACTCTATTACATACTATAAATCAAAGAAACATTTTTTTACCATTTTCTTGGTCTGTAGTACACTGTCTCTCATAATAGTCTGTGTTGGCATCTTCTACCCACTGGTTAGATGTGATAGTGTATCTGTTGTGGGTCATTAAGTCACAGGCACTGTCAGACACACGGAAATTGAAAGACCTGCAATTAAAGGTAATTATCCTATCAATACGTCTGCTTATATTAAGTACTGAAAGATTAAGAACTTATGGGGAAGAGAAAAGAAAGGATATAATAGAAATATTGTCTGTGTGTACATATACAAATGCTATTTCCAGGTACAACCTCCCCCCTGCCCCTTCTCCCCCGAGGGTGGCAGATAATACCATTGGGACATACACTGTAACATACCGAAGGACAATCAGAACAACACCCACCCCCCTCATTGGGCTGACAGGTACAGTGCACTGACAAGGTGTCACAAACCAAGGACAGTCTTAACCAGGTGAAAACAATACACTCAGGTGGCTTATTATACATAGCCAGGTAGATATTGAGGTGTGATAAATTGCTGGGAAACGACAAAGCCATGAACATAAAACCCTCTCTGCATGTTTCCCTTTGGATTCATTCTCCTAGCTCCTGGCGTAACAATTTGCAAATCAAGATAAATACAGTACACGTATGTGTATTAAGTTTGAATAATTTAAAGCATAAATTTAACAAACCTGGTACATGCACTAGCTAGTATGTTAAAACATGAGATACTGACCTCAACTTAAAATGAGAAAAATTTTCAAGAGGCTTTGATGTTTTTACCTGCAAGTGAAGGTTTTCTCATGCAAACAAGCATGCTTGCAATCAGCTACAGTTGTAGATGTTACTGTTTTATCAAAGGCATTGAGGTTTATGTATTGGCCCTCTACGTGAACAAAATGGCATTCTGAAAAATATCAGCAACACACAGATTATGATATAGTCTCAATTTATTCAGGTGCCAGTATGTATACATACCAGTAATATTCTTGGGATTTTATTTGGATATTTTAATCATTTGAATTTAATTTGGATATTTTACATTAAAATACTATATTTTTGTGCTGTGAAAATACATGTTCACATTGTTAAAAACAAACATAAAGATAATTATGAAGATGTGGAATGAACCTTGCAGATTTATGCACAAATAAACACAAATATTTAATTTACAAACTTTTATTTTTTACACAATCAAATAATGTTTAATAATATTATTTAAACCTTGACCTAAATTTCCAATTAAAAAAAAATACCTGGTACATACGCATTGTAAATTTAATGTAATTTAAACAAAAACAGTTTGGAAGTTAAAAGGTGAAGAAATGACAGAGTGTTAGCAAGGAGAAATGGACAACCAAGGGTGATAAGAACATACACTGTATATAACATAAAGTTAATAAAACTAGACATTTAAAACAGGTCCATACCCTCTGGTCTTTCACAAATCACATTCCACAAGTCTTCCACGTTATCACACTCGCGATCATTCCACTGCATGCTTTTGTGCACCTCACAGCGAACACAATGCCTAGCAGCACTATCAGGCTCGGTCAGACTCCAAAAATCCCACATTATTCTGGAGCCGTCTGCCCGGAAGTTGTATTTGTTCACAGTACTATCTTCCTGTTCCAAACCAATCCACCATTCTGAACCGGACAGAGGGTAATATGTTTTCTGTGACAAAAAAGATATCAAATGGGATGTGATTAATGGTGATTTGCTATAGAAATTCTATGCAAAATATGAAGGAACAAAATGTAATACTTATGAATGTTCACCAGCTAAAGATTTTCCAATCATCAATTTAATTAATCATACTTTCACTGGTAAATTAAAGACAAAATATACACAACCAACCTTTATAGCAATCAAAATGAATTTTCCTCAAAATTGCAGCAATTTTCATTTTATCATCAGTGAATACTTTATCTAAAACCAATGACAAAACTGATCTATAATATAGAGCAGTTTTTGAGCTTTTTATTTATATAATTATTTTAGCAGCACCACCACCACCACTACAACAACAAAACATTCCACAAAACTCCAGTCCCAGTGGATGCACTAGAGTGATTGAAATTGGTCATAAATGTGGGGTGTTTATAACTTATGTCTTTTTCACATCCAACAGTACATGTACTATATGGTACATGTATCAGGGGGGAAAGGGGGGGGGGCAACGAAGCCAATCAAATTTAATCTATTCAACTGGCTGTAGTCTACTGTGACAAGTATAGGGGTTTTGTTTAGGCAACTGTCTATATAGTATAATAGCCAAGGTAGTGCTTGTTGTGGAAAGTGCCTTACCGCTATGTAGTACAAGAAGTCCTGTTCCCACTGGTTGTCAATGCTAGCCAATTTGGCATCAATACTGTAGCAATAATCCTTGGCTTGGAAGCCATTATAACCAATGTCATTGCTGTTTTGGAAGTAGTAGCAACTTCCTTGAAATGGATACCAGTCTTTCGGGCAAAATGTGTCATCTTAAACATAAAATATTTTGATTGTTGATTTAAGTATGATATTGTTTCATTACTTTAATACTGTAGCTATATTATTATTATTATTATTATTATTATTATTATTATTATTATTATTATTATCATTATTCTAAGTTATTATTATTGTTCATCCATATGAAATTATTATTGTAGGAATTAAAGTACATAAAAAAACTTTAGTTAGAATTTGTACTATGACTACTTGCTAGACATGCAAAATTCAAACATTACCAGTGCTTTAAGAATGGACCAAAAATGTTGCAAAAATGAAAGAAATACCATAAGTATCTTATATAGAATTAAGTTCTGAACCAGTATACATGTACTTATCAACTCAGTTTTCATGGAATCTTAATTTAAACCTATCATACTGCTGAATGTATTTAATGTATTTAAATCAAGTACAAATGCATTGAACCTGTTTGAATATAATCACTTCATTACAGTGCTATGGTTATTTCACTGTAAAATCCCATACCTGGATAGCCATTGTATCTCGATGATATCTCCTCTGCTGTCAGAGTGTAGGTGTAGTAGAAAAGTCCTTCTAATGTCCCAATAAACGTTTTGGGGAAAGAGATGGTATGGGAGTCGCCAGTGTCCTCAAGCACTGTCACCGTTTTCTCATTCTCCAGTACTCCATCCACATATATCTTCCAACTGTAAAGCAAGACAATTAAATTTGACTGAAACAGGGGCCTCTATTTGACATCCTAAAATTCAGAAGACATTGGAAATTATTTCAACTTTCTACTGTTTCGTATCTCCATGCCTACAAATCTACTATCTCCAATTGCCTCTGAAATGCATGACCATGGGAGTTTGTAGTGGAAATTTGCACAGACTGGTGGTGCTTACAACATAAAATTTATTTCAAAATTTTACAGGTGTGAAAACCTGCATGCTGAAACACCAGCAGGCATTTAAAATTACAGTTATACAAAAAAATAACAAATTTATTATGTCACAATTTGCATTATATGAAAAATTAAATTAAAAATATGTCCTTACGTTTCTGTCTCTATGTCCTGGGTAAATACAAGATAATGCCACTGGTCATCTGTTATTGTACTTGTTCCCGCTTTAAACAAAGAAAACTACATGTCAATTCATGGAAATATTTCTAAATCAATAGTAACTGCTACAATTACAAAACAGCACTTGTCTAACGGAATTTTCAATATGATGTACTTTTCATTAGTCAATCTTGAACATTAGCTACTGCAATATTAAGATACTACTGGTATTTTAACTAAACTAATTAACCTTTTTTATGTAAAATAAAAATATATGATTTTCTTACAAAGCCAGTCAAATACAAGTATATGGAAAGCAGTGTGTTACAGCATACCATAACTGTAAGGCTAGAAAAAAATGACAAGTTGCATTGGGAAACAAGTGCAACAAACTCTTAATTTTGAGGAAATCAGTTTTGTATTATTTTCTGTTTTATTAATATTATTTTTTGCATTTGTTTTTCAAATGTATGGGACACTGCTTTGATAATGGGACACATTTTTTATTTGACAAAAGAAAAACTTTAATGCTGTTGTTGTCATGATCAAAAAACCACCCTAACTAAAATTATGAATCTTGCTGCTTGTCAACATTCTGAACAATTTTTGCCCAATTCACTTAAAGGGATAACAACTGTTCATTTTGGCCAAAAAATTAATTTTCCTGTGGTAAACAATTTTCCCATTCTTTTCAATGGTTAATGAATCCATTTCTACATTCAAATTTAGTCCTGTTTATTTTTCTAGAAAGTTTGCTTTTCTGTAATAATCTCTGAAGAGATTATTATAGACTATAGCCATCTATGGAGGTCACATGGTTGGATGACAAGCACAGATTTTAGAATAATTGCTTTAAGTGCCATTTTTGGTGGTGAAATAGAATATATTACATTTCCTTGAGTTGTCTACAATGTTTTTATTGTGAAATATAGGTTTCATACAAAGAGTTGTTATCCCTTTAAACATGTATCTTACCTATATTACCAACACTATGAGCATCAAATTTAATCTTTCCAGAGTTAATGTAGAACTGTTTTCCTCTGTAAACCCAAGAGCCTGAAACACAATAAGTGACATTTGATACTTAACAAACTAAAAATATTGTAGACACCAAATTACTTAATACAGCATGCACTAATTACACCAGTATATGTACATGTACTCCATAGGATATCTACACATCATTTATATTTCAGAGTAAGGTTTGTTAATATATATATATATATATATATATATATATATATATATATATCCTCAAGGCCATGCAGCTAAGTCAATAACACCAATACACAGATTGATAGATATTTAACCAGCTAAGGCTTTTTTGCCAAATGATTGACAGGAGCAGTAAATTATGGTGTTACTAATTATTATAAATGTGTCGGTCAAAATCAAAATCAAAAGGGAAGATTGGTACTTACCAGAACTATCTGACCTCATCATCAAAATTCCATCATTGGATGTCTTCACCCAAACTGACAGTGAAAAATCAACTTTGCCAAAGTTGTTAAATAATTTCCACCATGTTCCTACGGTCTTCCACTGTGCAGTGGAAACCGAGTAATACACACCATTGTTGAATTCTGTCTGTGAATTCCAAATAAGTTCTCGCTGGTCTGTAAAAATATATCTATCTATCTAAATAATCTGAAACTATACATATAATGTTTGTCAAATTTATGCTCTGCCTTTACCAAAATTTTCATTTTAAAGGAACACAAACCTTTACAAAGGAAAATTTTACTTTCCCGGAGATTTTCGACTCATTTTCTACTTCAATTACATTTAGGTATATCACAACAACAAAAGAAAAAAAAAAGACAAATTCACAATCTATAAACCCAACTACAGCCACTTACTAAAACTGTTCCTGTACAGATAATGAATCCCGTTGTTTGACAGTCTATAATCATAGACTACAACAGATCGCAGATGCCCTGTTAATTTTCCAATGAAGTTATCAGCACAATTTCCTAAACGCAACACATGGTTGTTGGAGTCGGTGGCAAGGGCTAGTGATGATGATGTATCGTGCTTGCCATCTAACGATATTCTATATCTATAAAGATTAATAAAAAAATTAATAAAGACTGCATCACTGAATGATACTGTTGATAATAGCTACAAGGCAGCAACAGCAGCTGGCAATTCAGACACCAAGAGGGTTTTTTTTTTTAAAAAAATTTTAAGCAGATTAGGAACAACTGTTCAAAGCCTTTTTACATACTTAATTAGTACAGAATGAATCTTTCCTAAATCATACTTTTTAAGTTTATATAATTACCCTCAAAACATCAGTTGCACTGTTTTCAAAGTATTATATATTCCAATAACATTACGTAAATAACCTATAATTTATTTTAGCATACAATTCCAATCAACATAAAACAACAATAATGAATTCTATTTATGTCCCTGCCCCCAGTGGCAGAGGTCACTGGACACTTATAACTGTACGGCACCATTAGCATGCTTCTGTTGTAATTATAACAAGTTCACACGGCTATAGCTAATGTACATGTATCGATAACCTGGCAATAAAATGAAAAAAGCTTCATTCACCCGGTCTTTCACAGGCATCTGCCATTTCAGGTCAAAATATATGTTCTTGTCCGACGGGGAATCAATATCAATTGTGGTAGTTGAGACGAGAGAGCAATCTGCCAATACAACCGTGTATACCTACTTCCATGAACAATCATCCTCACTGTCGCATTCACAGCTAGCACAATCACATCATCTCAAACGGATTTTTTTCACAAAGAGGTTTTAGATTGATGAAATGATCATCTCTAAAACACGAGATAGAGCAATGAGAGTGTA